TTATAATAATTTTGAAAATGTAAATTATGGTTATGCAGTCTTTGGGAAGGAATATAAAATCCAATATTTTTTATATTAAAAAAAAATCCCGCGGTGCATTTTTTTTTTATAATTGCTCTTTAATCACAGTAGTTTTCTTAAGTGACACCACTGCATATTTCTTTAAGAAGATATGAGGAGGGACCCCTCAAAAAAACAGAATTATCTTCTAGAGGGTGGGCCCCTTGTATTACAGGCTTCCCTCACTAGGTGAGCATTCTAGGAACCCATCTGTGTCAGTACATCAGCTGGCGTTGTTGTGAGAGGCTGCATTCGGCTTCAGTGAATTGTTTTTTGAAGTCTCTTTCAACGTGTTTGTCCGTTTGATGATGGGTGATGTACCAGCGCACCGGCCCCCACTACGGTGGGTGTTCAGCAGTTTTTCACCAAAAACAGTATGACTCTCGTGTTGCATCCTGTCTATTCACCTGATCTCACTGAACAACTTTTTTTGTTTGTTTCCTTGGACAAAAGAAGTCCTCAGAGAGAAATGTTTTGCCAATGTGGAAAAGGTGAAACAAAAAATTACAAACACTAAAAGGCATAAAAATTGAGGAGTTCAAAAACTGTTTTGAGCAGTAGAAAAAGGTCTCTCTGGGTGTATTGCATCAAATGGAGAGTACTTTGAAGGCGACTGAAGTTTAAATATTTAAGAATAAATACACAATTTTTATAAAGAAATTTTATGGGGTTTTTGGGGGTCCCCCTTGTACGCTGCATTTTTCAAATTGCATGTATAATATAGGAGCTGCCATTGATAGTTTTCAGCAAGAGGAAAAGAAATTGAATACCAAAATCAGGGGTCATGGGGAAATGCTTTAAAAATTTATCATTATGTTGCTTCTTTATATTCTATTTTATGTATATTATATTGCATTTTATGAGTTAGAACAGAGAACAATTCTTTTCATTTTAGCAAATGGAGTTGTGCTTGAGAAAATGTCTACAAACTGTGTATGTAGGCATAAGGATTTAAAGTGATGTGGAACCTCTTGGTGTCTCACATTGAACTCTTTCTCTAAGGCACCAAAGTGCTTATAGTGTCTGTACAAAGAGGTGAACATAATTTGTACTTTTGAGTAAATGAAAATAGCTTTAGTATAAGACCTGTCACGCTGATTCTCCAGGAGACACTGTAAGTAGAAGACGGAACTTTCCCTAGTGGAACCACATGTATTTCCCTGAATAACTTCTACCCAACAAAGCTCTAAAATGGATTATTTGCATTTCCTCTCACTGCTTTATTTTGCAGAATGTACAGAGCACAGTTAGTAAAAAGATTGCTTAGAAGACACATTATATCCACAGAGGAATTCCAGTATCGTTTTTCATACAGCTATACAAAGCCAAAGTGCCGTCTATTATCACCCATAACCTATGAAAGCCAGAGAATTAAGAGTCTGTATTTGCAACTATAGGTGTATCTTACTTTATACAAGAGAAATAGATAAATTGAATTTTGCTAAATAAAAGGATACATAAAACACATTGGGAGAGCTGACAAAATAGGTTAACCCTCCTGTGAAAGTATTTGCTAAAGTGAACAATTATTCTCTAATTTATATACTTCATAAATCCATACCTTCATGTAGCAAGTTTGCTGAAAGTGAACTGTATCTCTTCCTACAAAAGGTATCGCATAGAGATATTTTCTACTTTTAAAAATTGGACCTCCAAAATAAATTGCCTGTCAGCCCTAGGTATAAAACGTGTTACAGGCCCTTGTGCAATTTAGAAAAGATGTACCATAGAAGATAGTCCCCACCTTTATTGTGGGTTTCAGTGTTTTCTCTTTTCCATTCTTTTTCCATCTCTTTTCAGTTAGTTGTTCCTTGAATGCTAAGAGGCTTTGGAGCATGTTTACTTCCTTTGCAGTATGACACAGGTTTTCTGAGAGTCCTCTCTGACCAAGTGGCTTCAGCTCTCCTTTAGTGAGATTTGCATCCTTATGCGTTTTTGTTTTTGTTTTTTTTTTCCTGACAGGAAGGAGGAAGGTAACCTACCTGTAGCATAGGGAACATCAGGTAAAGTAAAGGAAGGACTTCCAGAGAATGCATTCTTAAGGAAAGTTCTAGAACCTCTTCCAGAGAGGGTTAAGAGAAAATAGATTCTTCTTGTATATGAAGTATATTTTAAAGGTTACTTCTTGCTCTGTGATTGTTTTATTTTGAACATTATAGCTAATGTTATGAAGATTTATTTCTGAAATATCTCAGAACAATATTGGGCATTACTGTAGAGAGTTGGTTGTCCTAACCTATTGTTAATTAACTCATGCACTCAATAGTCGTGCCTGCTATAATAGTAAGTGCTACCATTTGAGGGCCGTTTTTTGTCAGTCACAGTGTTAGGCACGTTACTACAGTTAATCCTTTATAACAATCCTATGATGTAAGTACATTTACCCTGTTTTTATAGTTGAGGAAGTAAAGAAGGGGCATGACACCAGGATTCAAACCTATTTCTGGTTGACTCTTATAATCCATGGTATGGACCACAGTTGCCATGTTTCTTCTCAACAAGCGCAGAAGAAACTAAGACAGCTCGGTAGCCTTAAGGAAAGGCAGAGGCTTTTGCTCAGGTGGAAGAGATAGGCAAGTAAAGAGATGATGGCAGTGCAACTTGGGAGTCCTAAAATAAAAGACACAGCGTGCAGGAGGCCAGCCACATGTGCACAGAGAAAGGGGGCCTAACCCGCTCTCGTGGGGAGATGGGCTTGCTCAGGGAAGGCAAGCCCTAAGGGGGTTCTTGAGCTGAAGAGTTCCTCAGGAACCTGTTGGTCTTTATAATTATTAGTACATTAGTGTCTAGCTTTGCCTTGGCTCTTGGGTTTCTTTTTTTTATTTGTATTTATTGTGTTATCATTCACTCGCTAATAACTAGGTCTGGCTCATAGGTACAAAAATGACCATGGCTCTTGTGGATCTTACATTGGAGCAGGAGAAATAGACATTGAAAACAGCAGTTATACACTAACTTTGTAAGTGCTATGCAGGGAAAGTAGGCAATATTGGAAGAGTGAATAACCTGGAACCTTACCCCGTTTGGGGAGGGGAGCAGGTGTAGCACAGTGATCAGAATTACCTGGGGAAATCACATTGAAGCTAAGGACTCAAGAATGAGTATGTTTAAAAAAAAAAAAAAAGGTGAAGGGGAATATACTCAGTAATATTGTGGTAACTTTGCTTGGTGACAGGTGGTTACTAGTCTTGTGATGATGTCATAAAAGTATATAATGGTTGAGTCACTGTGCTACATACCTGAAACTAATATAATATTGTACACCAAAAATAGTTGAATAATTTTTTTTTTAAAGAATGGGTGGAGAGTAGGCATGAGAAAGTGGTTTTAAGGGGAAAGTATATTAAAAAGTGTTCCAGGCAAAGGGAACAATATGTGCAAAGTCTCTGAGACCAGACAGAACTTGGACGGCTTGACAATCTGAAATTAGGTCAGGTGACTGGATAGTACAAACAGCATGCTGGAGAGAGAGGGCTTGCTGAGACATGACCTTCTAAATATACTCTTACAAGCTGCCTCAACTAAGGCGAGACTTAGAAGATAAATTTACATTAAAAAAATAAATTATATTGCTTAAAAACCCACTGAAGACCATCAGTTCATATTCTTAGCCCTAATTTGTATATCAGTTTTTCTTTTTATTCAAAATTACATCCTATCTGTATCACAAAAAAGAATTAACTGCATGTCTTGTTTAAATTTAGAATAAAAGTTTGTTAATAAAAGCAAGTCTGGTCTAGAGAGAGATTCTGACAAAGATTAAATATCATCAACCCAATATTGAAACATCAACTCTCAAATGACAAAAAAAATTTTTTAAATATATATATATATTTAAAAATTTTTTTATATATATATATCTATATATATATATAAAAAACAGTTTTCCAAATCACCCAGAAAACACCATATTATTTCAGAATAGTGCAGATGGCCGAATATCGTGGTCATCATACTTCTAAACTGGCTTTCAAAGACAAACAGCAAGGATTTCATGTTGTTTTAGGTTTTTCCTGGTGATCCTGATCTTTTTCAATAATGAACAGACGTGGCGAGGGAGCCCAGAAATGTGTACCACAGCACCTACTTTCAGACCAGCTTACTTAGGATAAATGAAATATTGATGTCTTTGAAAATGCCCAAGTGTTCAGTAAAGATTTTAAATAAAGCTACCTAAAAGTTGTGGTTCTTAGGTTAATCATTTATTTATCTAAAGGATGAAGGAAGCTGTCTGCTTCTGTGATATGAACTGCAATCAGCTTAAAAATAATTGACAAATTAATCCCTTCACAGCACAGCAATTGTAAAGGTGTTAGTTTTAATTAGGCCTGTCTGATTGCCTTGTCTAATCAAGAATCAAGGTGGTATCTTTGATGGTTAAGGTCTAGTGGGGCCATCCCTGACCCGCCAGCCATGTATGTTTTAATTATTGATTCCTCACATTTCAGCCCTTCTCACAGAGGGACTTGAAGTTCGCAATACCTTAACATTTAAAGGGAGGAAAAATAAACATTTTCCCCAACACTTCTATCTAGGATCTTGTGTAATCTCTCCAGCAATCTACAATTTTGTCCTAAAGAGCCTCTCAGGTTGATGGCAAAGTCAAATGCACATTCAAATACCCTCCTACTGCTGCCTTTCCTCCCAAGCACCGGATTTTCAAAGGACATTGTTAGGATCTCAGCAAGTCATAGGCATTTATGCTTCCTGGAAACACTTGATTTCTTGATATTCTAAAGTCCATAAGGGCAAATGCAGTTCTCAGGAAACAAGAGCAGTCAGACAAAAGGAGGCGTGTATTTTCTCCCTGGGGGCTTCCTCACACCGCAGGGAAGGAAGGAGGGCAGGCTTCCTCGTGCCGTTCTCAGTGCTCAGTGAGCCTGGGCAGCTGGTGGTCTCAGGGGTCCATGTGCATGACGGTGGCTCTCCTTTGGTTGCAGGTCAATGAAGTGACGGTGGAGCAGCTGGTGCAGCAGTACCCCCACATCACCTTCAGCACTGTCCTCCAAGACTGCAAGAGGACCCTCGAGAGAGCCTATCAGATGGGCTGGACCCCCAACATGTCTGCCGCCTCCTCCTAACACCCCTGCCCAAGCTCAGGTCCGCGGGGATCGTTCGGCAGGGCAGAGGGCAAGTGTAGGTTTGGGGTGGATGACCTCTTGGAAAGGTTTTAATTGTCACCTGTCTACGTGTATACCCTAGTGTGTGTGTATTTGTGTCTTGTTTGCATACTGCATAGCATAAGCGCAATTACTCTTTATTCCCAGGTGAGCTGGTGTTTTTCTTAAAAGTTAAAGATTTTAAAAGCCACGAACTTTTTTGTTTTTAAGTTCAAAGGCTTATTTCTCTAAAAAAAATGTTTCTACCATGGAATCAAAATATTGAGTCTATTATTTTGAGCTTCTAATTCCTGCCACTTGGTGATGCCCCAAAATGAAGGCAACTGCTTTCTTTTCTGATTAGGAAGACTTGTGCGCTTCTGCTGATGACTAGAACATAAGTGATGTTACACTAGTTAGAAGCCTGGAAACCAGACATTTTCAAATTTTCAAGCACATGCACACATACATAGGTTCTTCCACTCCCTTATATACATGCACATGTGCATGCACACGCTCACCAGGGCAGTTTCTTTCTAGCTCATTTCCTGACGAGGGGCCTTCCTCCAGGCCCCTGAGGGAGCATGCCATCCGCTGTGGCTCTGCCTAACGCCCTGTATCCGCAGGCAGCCCACCTGCTGTCTGGTAGATGACGTAGGTACTAGAGATGATTTTTGTGACATTTTTATATGGAGGCAACAATCCCCTGGCCAGCTCACAAAAGTTAATTATTCATTTACAAATGCGTTCTGTTGAATATTTCAGTTGAGTTATATATGTTAACATTGTGTTAGCTTTTACTTCATGGATGGTAACTGGTCTGGATACATTTTAATGATATTTGGAACTCAGCATTATCCACGTTAAAGCCACCAATGTATTTAATAGTGTGAAATTTTTTTAAAAATCTACAGATCATTTAATTATTTTTCTTAATTTGGGTAATTATGAAATTATATTTCTGAGATTTGGGGATAGTCACATTAATAGAATATTAATGAGTGAGATGTAAGTAGACAATCTTTTTTCTTTGCTTTGAGCTTTAGAACAGGTTTTTTGGTTATATGCATGTTATTTTTTTTTAATAGTTCTTATGCTACTGCAAAGATCTATTGCTGGTTAATATGTGAGTTAAGAAAAATTATAAAATCTTTTCATTAAAATTGTTTAAACGTGTCAGAAATAAGCATTTCTTTGTTTAAAGATTGACACCCTTCAGTTAAGAAAATATCTATCAGTAAATGAATATATGTTTTGATTTCACACATCTTTAGAATTAATTCATAGTAGGGACTCAGGCTCAAATAACCTTTCCTGTGTCTAGATTTATAATCAAGACAGGAGGGAGCCTTTTTATGCTTAAGAGTGATTATCTTTCCCAGTAGGGCTAGATACAAAACCCTGACTTGTGAGTTTGCTATTTATTCTTCCCCAGTGTGGGCATAGCTGTATTTTGGTCTTTAACAGGTATACTAAGGTTTGAGTTTCACTTTCCATAAGTCCCAATATTGCTAAAATGAGACTAGCTGTAAGAAACAAAAAATAGCTTTGCATTCAAACACCCTTCACTTACTTATAATGACTCCAAAAAATGTAAACAACTGTTTTCTTTTGATTATGTCAACATGTTTCTGATGGGGCTTTTTTTTTTTCTTTTAATCCAAATCAGTTAGGAAAATCTAGTCAGTATCCACCAAGGGTATTGTTTCTGTCACTAAATGGATTACTAACTTAATTTGAAGGGAATAAAGTTGTGTAAGGAAAAAAAAGCTGTTTACGCTTAATAAACTACGATTCTTCTTACACATCAAACTGTATTGTTTTCATTTCCCCTCCACTGAAAAATACCTTAAATCACATTTTAACTGGTTTTTAATCCAATACTAATTTATAGGGCAGTATGTATAGTAATAGTAGCTTGAGTGAATAAGCAAAAGTTTAATTTTTATATGTCACACTATATTTTAAATAGTTAAAAAAAATAAGGGAGAGCCATTGATAATACAGATGGTGCCATTTCATTGCAAAGTTGTAATAATCTTTGGAGTGTTACAGTTTGGTTGTCAAATGGTTTCAGAAGTGTATAATTGATTTTTTAAAAATATTACATTGTTTGAATCTACAGTACAGCACTATAAACATGCTTTCGCTTGGGTTGGGTGGGGGGGGGACTTGCACTTATTCTTTAAAATGTTGACTAATCCAGAAAGCCTGATGCAGCATAGCCTGGAAAACTGCTTTGGTATATTTGTAGAAATCTGTAGAAATACCACATCCAGCCTCAAAGCATTAATCTCAAACACACACACAACACACACACACACCCCCGAAAAAACATTACCTTGAGTGATCCTGTGATGGTTGTTAAATGTGTTCTCATTAGATGCTTTGAAATGAGGCCTAAAATGATTTTTCTGGGCAATGTAGAGTTTCTTTCTTTCTTTCTTTCTTTTTTTTTTTTTTTGGCTTAGAATGTCATAAATGTATGTGAACACGTTTAATGCAGGGCTTTTTATCCTCTCCAAAATGTCAACAGTATTTTCAGAATAAAGACTATGAAATATACTGCTGTAGTAGAAAATTCTGGTCCCTTGTCTTTAATGTCTTTTTGAGTGGATAAAGGAAATTTAACTGGTTTGTAGTTTCTATATTTCTGTGAATCTTTTGACCTTGCAATGGGTCGCAATAAAAGAGAAACAAAACACTGTGTCTTTTGTTTTATTTCAGAGACAATAAATGATCTCCATGATGCTGGTTGGGTGTGAGGCTTGCAGTGGTCTGTGTCCTTGTGTTGTTTCCCTACGGACTTTATGTAGGTTTGACTAACTGAGAATAATAAACAAGACTGCGTGTAGGAGGTTCTAATTTGGTTAGTGATTACTGAGGGAAGATTAAAAATCAAGGGTTTAAACAAGTGGTTTGTTTACATTCCCATCCCCTAAAATCTCATTTACTTAGCCATTTTTTCAGTTTTTCAATAGTAAATAAATACATTTATTGAATAAAAAACATGTTCCAGGCACTGAGTATTTAAAAATCTCATTTTCAAGTTGCTCATAGCCTAGCAAGGAGACATTCTTAAAAACTAGCAATAGCAATGTAGTAAAACAGTTAAAATAATAGCTACAATTAAAGGGAGCACACACACAGGACAGAGTAGCAGCTTTGGGAAGGAAGAGCTTCACAGAGGAGAAGCTTTTTTGAAAAAAGACTATTCGTTTTTAGAGAGAGGGGAAGGGAGGGAGAAAGAGAAGGAGAGAAATATCGATCAGTTGCCTCTCACATGCCCCCAACCAGGGACATGGGCGGCAACCCAGACATGTGTCCTGACTGGGAATCAAACCGCACTGACCAGGAATTGAACCAGCGACCTTTCAGTTCACAGGCCGGCACTCAGTCCACTGAGCTGTACCCATCAGGGCCCCACAAGGAGCTTTTTATTTTATTAAATTTATTGGGGTAAGATTAGTTAACATTATTGCAGGTTTCATGGGCACAGCTCTGTAACACATCACCCGTACATTTCATCGTGTGCTCACCACCCAAAGTCTGCTCTCTTTCCGTCATCCTCCTCCCCTTCCCGCTTCCCTTTTCCTCTGGTAACCACCATACTGTTGTCTGTGTCTCTGAGTTTCGTTTTCTTTGTTGCTCTCTGTTTTATATCCCACACATCATACGGTCTTTGTCCTTTTCCGTCTGACTTATTTCACTTAGCATGATACTCCCAAGATCCATATGTGTTGTCACAAATGGAAACATTTTGTCATTCTCTTATGGCTGAACAGTATTTCACTGTATAATTGTACCGCATCTTCTTTATCCAAGCATCTGTTGAAGAACACTTAGGTTGTATTCATGCCGTGGCTATTGGCAACAATGCTGCAATGAACATAGGGGTACATGTATCTTTTCAAATGAATTACTGAGTTATGGTGGGTTAGGTACCCAGAAGAGGGATTGCTGGATCACATAGTAGCTCTGTTCTTAATTTACTCCATACTGTTTCCATAGTGGCTGCATCAATTTATGTTCCCACTAGCATGGTACAAGGGTTCTCTCTTCTCCGCAACCTCTCCAACACTTGTTATTATGTTGATAGTGGCCATTCCAAAAGGTGTGAAGTGGTATATCATTGTGGTTTTGGTTTGCATTTCCCTAATAGCTAGTGAAGTTGAGCATCTTTTCGTATATCTATCTGTGTATCTTCTTAGAAGTGTCTGCTCAGGTCCTCTGCCCATTTTTAAATTGGATTGTTCAGTTATTTTGTTGTTGCTGTTCAGTTGTATTAGTTTTTTATGTATTTTGGATATTAGCCCCGTATGGGTAGTATCCTTTGCATATATCTTCTCCTGTTTGGTTGATTGTCTTTTTGTTTTGTTGGTGGTTTCTGTTGCTGTGCAGAAGTATTTTAGTTTGATGTAGTCCCATTCATTCATTTTTGCTTTTACTTCCTTTACCTTTGGGGACAAGTTCACAAAACCTCTCTGAGACCAAAGTTCATAAGGTTGGTACCTACATTTTCTTCTATGTATTTTATTGTTTCAGGTCTTTCAGTTATGCGTTTAATACATTTGACTTAATTTTTGTATATAATGTCAGGTAGCAGTCTAATTTCATTCTTTTGCATATGGCATTCCAATTTTCCCAGCACCATTTATTGAAGATGCTTTTCATTCCCCACTATATGTTTTTTGGCTTGTTTACCCACATTTGTGTGGGTTTATTTCTCAGCTCCCAGTTCTGTTCCATTGGTCTGTGTGTCTCTTTTTTTCTGCCAATACTTTTTTGATTATTGTAGCTTTGTAAAGTATACTTTGAAGTCAGGAAATGTGATATCTCTGGCTTTTTTCTGAAAATTGCTTTGGCTATTCAGGGCCCTTTGTGGTTCCATACAAATTTGAGAATTTTTGTTCTATTTCTTTGAAAAATTTCATTGGGGCCCTGACTGGTGTGGCTCAGTGGGTTGGGCATCATCCCATAAACCAAAAGTTCGCCAGTGAGATTCCCAGTCAGGGCACATGCCTGGGTTGTGAGCCAGGTCCCTGGCTCGGGGCGTGCTACAGACAATAGATTGCTATTTCTCCTGCACATCAATGTTTCTCTCTCGCTCTTTCTCTCTCTCTTCCCTTATCTCTAAAAATAAATGAAATCTTTTAAAAAAGAAAAATGTCATTGGGATTCTAGTAGGGATTGCATTCAATCTGTATATTGCTTTAGACAATATAGCAGCCATTTTAACTATGTTAGTTCTTCCAATCCATGACAGGGAATATCATTTTATTTCTTTGTGTCTTCAGTTTCCTTCAGCAATAGCTTGTAGTTTTTAGTGTATGGTTTCTTCGCTTCCTTTGTTAAATTTATTCCTAAGTATTTTATCCTTTTTGTGGGAATTGCAAATGGAATTGTTAACTTTTTCTGATGTTTCATTGGTAGTATATAGGAATGCAACAGGTTTTTGTACATTGATTTTGTATCCTGCAATGTTACTGTATTTCTTTATTGTTTTTAATAGTTTTTAGTGGAGTCTTTAGGGCTTTTCTGTACACAGAATCATGTCATCTACAAATACTGAGTTTTACTTCTTCATTCCCAGTTTTATGCCTTTTATTTTTTTTCCTCTTGCCTAATTGCTCTGACTTGGAGTTCTAATACTGTGTTCAATAACAGCGGTGAGAGTTGGCATCCTTGTCTTGTTCTTGATCTTAGAGGAAAAGCTTTCAGTTTTTCACCATTGAGTATGATATTAGCTGAGGGTTTGTCATATATGGACTTTATTATGTTGAGGTACATTTCTCTATTCCCATTTTATGGAGTGCATTAATCATTAATGAATGTTGTATCTTGCCAAATGCTTTTGTTGCATTTATTGGTGTGATCTTATAGTTTTTATCTTTTATTTTGTTAATGTGATATATCTCTTGATTGGTTTGCATGTACTGAACCATCTTTGCATCCCTGGAATAAACCCCACTTGACTGTAATGTGTTATCTTTTTAATGTATTTGAGTTGCTAGTATTTTGCTTAGGATTTTTGCACCTATGTTTATCAGTGATATTGGCCTATAATTTCTTTTTGTGTGTAGTGTGCTTGCCTCGTTTTAGTATCATGGTAATGTTGGCTTTGTAGAATGAGCCAGGAAGTATTCTGAGGAGAAGGTTTTAAGGAAGGTTAAATGAGTGGCAGGAATTTACCAAACTTCTTGTGGGGAAAGAAGGGCAACCCTGAAAATGGAAAAACATGTCCAGAAGCATGAGGGAATGAGAGAGAAAGGTACGTTCAGGGCCTTTGAGTAAAATAAGAGGGTATGTTCCATAGGGGCAGAGGGCAGAGAAATGTTCTAGGGGTAATCGTAAACTTTTCATGGCCTACTAGAGATTAGGCTTGCAGGGAAAATCAGATCTGCTAGAAAAGTCTTGCCCTAAATTCTTTAAATATGTAATAAATTTAAATGCAGAATTTTTTTTTATTTCTGGCAATATAGTGAGATAAAGATCCTAAAAGATGTTTTGCTATGTAACATCTAAAATTTTTTATTAAAATGTATTTAAACACTTTTTAATTGACTGGATGTGTCTGCAGGAAGCAAAAGAAACCTCCTGTGGGCAGGATCAGAGCGGGAACATCCGCCTAGAACAGGGGTTAGCAAGCTATGGTCCCTGACCAAACATGGCCAGATGCATTTTTTATAAAGTTTAATTGGAACACAACCACACACTTTTTTTTTTTTTTTTAATGTATTCTCTATGGCTGCTGTCAGGCTACAAACAGAGTTAGGTCATTTTGACAAAGGCCATGTGGTGCATAGTCAAAATTTTACTATCTAGCCTTTTACTTACCTCTGGTCTAAAAGAGTGGTTCTCAGAGTGTTTTTCCCAGACCGGTCACATCAGCATCACATGGGTACTAATTCTGGAGCCCAGACTCAGATCTGCTAAACCAGGCACTTGGGGAATAAGGCTCAGCAATCTGAGTTTTAGAAGATCCTCCATGTGAGGCTGAGGGAGAAGCTTGGAAACTACCAGAATATGGGAGACTCATGGTCATCATAGCCTAGATAATGTGTAAAAGGCTTTGAGCCAGTGAATAATGGGGAGTTGATTCTGAGTTTACTCCACATAAAGCCAGGATGCCTAAATGATGACACTCCTTTACAAACCACAGACTAAAATAACATGGGGCAAAATAAAAATTGAAGAGGCAGGCAGTAAGGAAATCTACCTTTTTCTGTCTTGGCTATGCATGCCTTTTTTTTTTTTAAGGTTCTGAAAATTAATAGCCACCAGCTACCATTCACATTGGTTTAGTACCTGAATCTACACTATTTGTAGTTTGTGTTCCTTATAATTGTAGTTTTAAAAGATTCATTTCTGACAAAAGCAGACAAAAATAATCTCTGGAACTGTCACCAGTGTGGCTTGGTTGGGCGCCATCCTGCAAAGCAAAAGGTCACCTGTTCAATTTCCAGTCAGGGCACATGCCTGGGCTGCGGGTTTGGTTCCTGGTATAGGGGCATGTACGGGAGGCAACCAATCGATGTTTCTCTCACATCAACGTTTCACTCCATCTCTTTTCCCTCTCTTCCCCTCTCTAAAATTAAATAAATTAAAATCTTTTAAAAAATTATCTCTGGAGAGGGTTACCCTCGATCTAGGCCTCAGAAGATGCTTGCTTCACAAATAGGGTGCCA